ATCAGAAGACTACTCTATCTTCATCCCTTCCCTGTCTTGCTCACTTTCTTCCTGCTGGACATTGTACTATTGATCTGAACCTCAGAGCGGGGAGGGGAGGAGATTTATTCTCCTATTAGAGGCTTTTGCTGTGTGATGGCTGTAGATTAAAGGTCTGCTGCTGCCCAGAGCAACACCGTTACACCGGCCTATTCATTAAACAACTGAATATTGAGTTAAATCAGGGTTAGGCCAGCTCAAGCTGACACTTACTGAGAAATGGAGCAGAGAGGAGAGAAAAGGCATGGGAAAACATCACATCCTTTACTCTTCTGATGTGGAAACCACTGCACACACCCATTCACCCATATCAAAATCCTGAATGTGGAAGTATCGCCCGACTGGAACGATGCTTTACATTTCCAGTCTCTGGTGTTTCTAGTCAAATTAACGTATTTTCGGAGCCGGTAATGTAACAATAAACCTATGAAAATGGTTTTAAAAAGCACATGGCACCATAGTTTCATCACTTTACAGTTCCACAATGACCATCTTTTTGCAGTAACTCAGCTGTCATAGTTTAATGAGTGGGTAGATGACATGAAGCGACCCGTGGTTAGCTGCAATGAAAACACATGACTGCACATATCCTACAAACAGCTCCTGATCGGGACAAAGTTCGCTGGATTTTGTCCACAAAATGATAAGAGCTCTCATTATTTTCTTTATTATTTCACACACAATATTTGAACTTAAAGGGATAGTTCACCTTCAGTTGCTGGTCCCCATTGACTTCCACAGTATGGAGAAAAAAAAAACACTATGCAAGTTAATGGAGACCAGCAACTGAAAGTGAACTATCCCTTTAAACGCTGCAAGTCATGCTCATTTTCTTTTGTCATCCTTTATGTATACAGCACCGGACACGGACAGATTTGCTGGTGCGCAAAACAAGTACTTAACAGGAATTCCTTAAGCTTATTGCTGTTACTTTGGTGGCCGACAACAGCACAGCTTAACCCGGTGCACATTTTTATATTTAGTTATACAGAAAAAGTTTCAGTTTAATTAGCTAAGTCGATCTTTTTACCCCGTTTTAACATGGATTTCTATGGAGACCAGAACACGAAAGCACCCAAATGGAAATTAGAATCAATTAGACATACAATTAGAATTGTATGTCAGTTGTAGAGAAATTGACAGACGTGGCCTTTCAATATCAGTTTCTGTCCATTTTTGTCTACAACCTGGTGGCTGCATTCTTTCCATTTCTCATTTTTAACTAAGCTCAGAAAATGTCTCTTTTTTTAAAGCTTCTTACAGCCCCTTACTGTGATGTCCTCTCCATCACATCTGCCAAAGCAGCATCTCATGGCTCTGTATGTCGCCCATTAAAAATATCATCCTTACGATGATGACTGTGTTTCCACTAGGAGCTAAACAGCCAATGTGTCTTTAAATTAAGGAGCAGATAACGTTAAAGTGACCAGAACTACCTTCACTGCATGTGCAAAGACAATGAGACGAAGATAGCCTGATAGAGGAAAGTCGAAAAGATGAAAGGACAAAAGGTTTGTTATAGTGGAAAAAGGTTCTTTAGGTCATTAAATGTTCTTCACATTATAGAGATTGTCCAGAAAGGTTTTTTGGGGAAACCAAAAGATAAACAGATCAATAGCATTAGGGCATTTTGCGGCACAAATGCCTACTAACAACAAACAATAAAGTGGCTTCCAGCAAATAAAAATCACTTTCTATGTGAACATGGCTTTACAGCTGATGATGTTGGAGCCATTAAGATGCATGCATGTAAAACGGGGAGTGAAATCTCTAGTGTCACGCAGGAATCGGATCAGAGGAGCAGTGGGCAGCAGATGTGGACGATCACAGAGAAAAATATAAAAGAACAGAGCATGCCATTGTCTCAGCGCCTAACCGGGTTGCCTGAGGACAGCATGGGCCAGACTGTTGTTGTCGAGGTAACAGTGGGCAACGGTAATAACAGCACAATGTCTGGGTATGGGAATGGTGATGCCATTCACAATGAATATAATGTGAAAAAATAATCTTGTTTTGCTAATCTGCATAAAACAATGACTAAGACCAAGTAAAAACCTCTGCCAACTGTTTATAATACCTGCATATTCAAACATGCCAAAAAAGGGTAAGTGATAGGGCTGCACGCTTAATCGAAATAAAACCAAATTCACAAAGGTTGCAATTTAATAAAATAAATATTTTTGGTGTGTGTTTTAGAGTAAAGCGCAGTTTGAGCCACTTTAATGTGCTTTTGGAAATGCAATATGCGTCAATTATCTTCCCATACTTCTAATGAGATGTTTCAAAGGGGTCTTGAAATGCATTTTTTTATTATTTTTTTATTATTATTTTATGTTCCCAGAGGTGCACTTATAATCTTAGTATGTTTGTTTCATCAAAAATGACTATAATTTAGAAATAAATGGTCCTTCTACCCTGAAATTAACCTTCTAATTTGAACACTCTATTGGACTCTATTGGATGTCTGCTTTGAGAGTTCAATGTAAACTCCCACTGCTATGATTGGCTAACATCTTTGCATAATAAATGAGCATTACATGTGGTCGTTTAGTCACTGGCTTGATTCACTAATGCATAAACGACAGTAAACCACTTTGTGAGAATGAATGTCTGAGTATTTTTTTTTTACCCTAATCGTGCACCCTTAGTGGTAATCCTAATTTGTCTAGGGTCCAGTTAACCTGCCTTTCAGCAAATCAGTTATGACTACTGGATGAACACCTAATTAACATTCATGAGCCAGTCTGATAAGGTTTACAATGCATATCACTAAAACCCATCTATATCCATTCTATTCGGTCTCTCTCTTTTTCTTCCTTCTTTTAAAATGATCACAGTCTGTCATACCCCTCTAACGCCATCTGCTTTTAATCCCTGCCCATCTTTGATTTATCTGTCAGGACCATTTTCAGAATCACCATTATCTGCTCCATAAATCCATAGTCTCTGAAAGTGTAATTACAAGCCTGACAAACATCAACTGTGGACCGAAATGGACCAAAATATAAAGAGCCGGTGTTGAAAGTTCAGACACCTGGAGATAAACAATGCAATTGCACTACAGTTGCAGATCAGCCAGCAAAGCCTAGTCCCTTTTAAAGGCATAGTTTAATTTTCTTGCATAAAGAATAATTTTTTTGTGTTTTCCTTGCAAAAATATCATTAGAAACTGTAACAACATGAAGGCAATTAATTCTATTTTGGGTCAAATATTCACAATCTGAGAGCAGCTTACATATAAAAATTATGATATATATACATTTTTACATAATGTCAGTCGTTGTTTATTACATGTGTGAGATGAGAACTGCAAATCGTCTCTGTGAAATCAATTTGCCACATTTAAATGTGTGCCTATATTACTGATTTGTGCCTATATTACTATTAACCCTCTCGCCTCCTGAAGCACCTAGAAACACTGAACCATGAATATTTTACCAGTTAAAAACTGAATGGTAAGTGAGAAATAAGACTGAGCAACTTTTTCTTGCTGCATCTCAGCACAAAAATCCCCTGCATTTTATTCACTAACCAATCGCAATCCAGCTTAGACATTAAATTAGCTGATATAGCACAAATACTGCATATAAATTTGGGCTCATTATAGCTTGCACCTTATTCACAAAACTCAGCACTATGTGCCTAGTGCTATTAGCATTGAGCGCTTATACAAAACAGAAATTAACCCAAACCTGCATTAAACTTATTATTGAATGCAGTATTACTTTCAACATCATAAATAGTAATAACTATGAATTCATAGCAGCCATTACTCTAGTCTTCAGTGTCACATGATCCTTCAAAAATCATTTTAATATGCTGATTTAGTGCTCAAGAAACATTTATTATTATTACTATCAATGTTAATTACAATTGTGCTGCTTGATATTTTTGTGGAAACCATGATATAGTCTTGTAATAGAACAAAAAAAAAAACAATTGTACTAATTCACATCTTTGAAACAGTAGTGTATTTTATAACAATTAAGTGTACTTTAGTCAGTTCCTTTCTTTATAAATGTTTCAACAATGAATTTGGAAAACAAAATAAAAAATAGAGGTTTCTCTGTTTCACCAGTGGGAGAAATCATTGCTGATTTGAAAAACTGCCCCAGAACCCTGTAATTCTGCAATAATAGGACATTTTAGACTTTCCTCAACTGCAAAAACTTGGACAGGAATAGCTTTCCCTGAACAGGTCAGATAAATTTGTGTTTCACAGACCAACTTCATTGTAATCCTGTCATACAACCTCTGTAAAAATTACAAACCAAAGTACCTGATTTTCAGCCGAGGGTCCCTTTGAGAAATCTAATCCTGTCCAGATAGGAATGTCTGTGAGTGCAGCAAATTTTTCACAGTGTCTCCCCTCATTTATTTTGACCTTTGTCAAATACCGTAACTAAAGCCAAATTTTCTTCTTGTGCTTCCTGCTGCGCCTTCATTATAGATTTAGACCTGTTTGCTAACATTCTAGGTAAAATACCAGTTAAAATACTGCTGGCAACTCATCTGATGTAAAGATAATAAATTCCTTCCCTTAATTGTCTCACATATATATTTAATGTTTACTTCTGGTGGGTTTCAGGATGACCTTCCATAATACCCACATCCATACAGACAACTCCTATTCCTACCTAAAAATGACAGACGATTGCAATCAGCATATGAACTCTGAGGCATGCTCTTTCAATAACTGTAACTCAAACATCATTTGGAAAAGGAATCCTGTTCAAATAGTGCTAAAAAGGTTCCAATATCTGAAAACTCACAACTTTTTTAGGAGTACAAGATCGGCCAGAGGGCAATGTTCACACAGATACAGAAGGGGACCAGACTAGAACACTTTGTAAAAGGCACTTTCACAAAGAAACAAAGCCGATCCCTTACATTCCTGAAGACATAAAACACACATATACATCCATTTGAAACGGTTTCTGCCTCCCCAGCTGTGGACTCACCCTGTCAGAACAACCACAAAGTCCATTACGTTCCAGCCGTTGCGTAGGTAAGAGTCTTTGTGAAACACAAAGCCCAAGGCGATGATCTTAATGCCGGCCTCAAAACAGAATATTCCGATAAAGTAGGGCTCTGTGTCGTCCTGCAGGAGGAGAGAGAAAAAAAGTATAACTTGTTTTTTGTGCATTTGAAAGAAGAGAGTACCTATTGATGCATGCAAGAAATATAGAAAGCAGAATAGAAAATATAGGTTGAAGTTCTTTGTTTTTTTGCGCAACACTCATAGAATAGGTCAAGATGCATGGTTTTGCGATGCAATGGGGAGGGAAGAGATGTGACATGATGTAAAATCGTGCTCCATTGTGATTGAAAATATGTTTTTATGGAACAGATTACTATAAGTGCAGTACTTTACATATACTGAGAGACATGTAAAAATAATAAAAATATAAAATTATATATATATATATATATATATATGTATATATATATATATATGGCTGTGACTTGGCCGTAGGTAATCACAGAGTGCCAATATACAGCCATATTTCACGTCTACGAGTGTGAAATTGTGTTTATACAACAGTTCGACGGCACAAGTGTGTAAATATATTAAAAAAACAACAACAGAGTGTCTTTAAAAACCCTTTAGTGCAGAAGTACTTCCTTCCGCCTCAGATTCAAATCTCAGTTTGACAGTATAGCTCAAGATCATTACTAATTCGAAAACGTCACTTTAGAACTAGTAACGAAGGAACGTTGAGCTGCTTCATTGAAAGCTTATTGTATCACTGTATTAAAAGCTCTCTGTATTATATGTAGAGTACTATGAGAGAGAGATTGACTAAGCGAATGTGATTACCTGCATTTGATACAGCATTCATTCTTCAGCTCAATCTCATATTCACAATAAATCATTAGTCTGAATGTCCGCTGAGGAAAGCGATATCTTTGTTCTACTATCCTTTCATATTTAAGGGTGATTTCCAATGACAGCACTGATCAGTGCATTTGTTAAATGCATCTTACAAGCTGTTATTAAAAGTAAAAATAACTTCCATTTCAGTCTCTTTCAATATAAAAGTCTACTTTTGACTCGTAAAACAGTCTCTTGTCGTCATCTAATGGCAGAACAATGTCACAAAAATCACCATCATGAACACACACACACAGTTTCCCAATAGTAAATACTACTATGAATATAAAATAGTATTTATGTATTTATTGGATAATAAACAACAACAACAGCCATCATTAAAGTTGCTAGAAAATTCAGTCAAAAGTACAAAGGCGACACTCTGATACAGCATTAAAGTTATATAAAATTTAACGTGATAAGATTTTGCCCTCAGCCAAAACTATTTGCTCTGGAACAAATAATAGATTAATGAGACCAAAGACTGCCCGTTAGAATTACCCAAAATGAATTATATCTTATGTTTAACCACTATAGAGACATCAGAGCCAGTGGCAAATTCCAGAAGATCTGGCCGAGGTGAGGCTGCTCTCGAGTTCTTGGTCAGTTCATGAGCGCTGAACGGCCGCTGACGCCCTGGAGCTCACATCTCCGAAAACGTTGATGCAAATTTTCAAATAGACGTTATCTTTATTAACAAACCGCATATTTGAAGTCTAAACAAGTAACTCTTAAAACTACATTCCGTGACAATTTTAGTGGATCTGGGTGTCCGCCATGACACTCGCTGTGAGAACTACGGGAAGCGGACTGATACAAACAGTGAAAGGGCATTCCTGTAGCGATACCAATACAATATCTCACGGTTCTTAACCAATCAGATTTGAGAACCAGAACAAACTGTTCTGTATATATATACAGTATATGTATGTATGTATGTGTTTCAGATGCTGTTACAACAACAACAACAAAAGAAGAATATTACAACAAAAAAAGTCTCAAAATTCTGAAACCAAATAAAACTGGAAAAATATACCAAGTATACGTTATGGAATCTGTTAGATGAATGTACTTAAAGAGATTCAGTCCCGGCTACAGCATGTCACATTGCTTTTGAACTCATTCCCATTAATGTCACCAGAGCCCTACAGCTCTACAGGCACTTACACCAGACTAACATCTCCAGTGCTCTGTTCTCAGAAAACCCTCCCACTTTATGAGTGCAATTATCAACCCCACTTGCAAATAAGTCTTCTTATGGCCCTCTTTTTGATGGAAACCTTGCCCTAGCAATGATTAATGAGACCAAAGACTGCCCGTTAGAATTACCCAAAATGAATTATATCTTATGTTTAACCACTATAGAGACATCAGAGCCAGTGGCAAATTCCAGAAGATCTGGCCGAGGTGAGGCTGCTCTCGAGTTCTTGGTCAGTTCATGAGCGCTGAACGGCCGCTGACGCCCTGGAGCTCACATCTCCGAAAACGTTGATGCAAATTTTCAAATAGACGTTATCTTTATTAACAAACCGCATATTTGAAGTCTAAACAAGTAACTCTTAAAACTACATTCCGTGACAATTTTAGTGGATCTGGGTGTCCGCCATGACACTCGCTGTGAGAACTACGGGAAGCGGACTGATACAAACAGTGAAAGGGCATTCCTGTAGCGATACCAATACAATATCTCACGGTTCTTAACCAATCAGATTTGAGAACCAGAACAAACTGTTCTGTATATATATACAGTATATGTATGTATGTATGTGTTTCAGATGCTGTTACAACAACAACAACAAAAGAAGAATATTACAACAAAAAAAGTCTCAAAATTCTGAAACCAAATAAAACTGGAAAAATATACCAAGTATACGTTATGGAATCTGTTAGATGAATGTACTTAAAGAGATTCAGTCCCGGCTACAGCATGTCACATTGCTTTTGAACTCATTCCCATTAATGTCACCAGAGCCCTACAGCTCTACAGGCACTTACACCAGACTAACATCTCCAGTGCTCTGTTCTCAGAAAACCCTCCCACTTTATGAGTGCAATTATCAACCCCACTTGCAAATAAGTCTTCTTATGGCCCTCTTTTTGATGGAAACCTTGCCCTAGCAATATCATTCTTTATGACAGTCTTCAATAACAACAGCATGATGCCGTTTTATGATTATAACTTGGTACAGCAAGGAAAACGCTGCAGTGTTAAATCTCTCTACTGCCTGTAAAAAAAACTGTGCATTCAGTAATGCATTACATAATATTTCATTATCAAACACAAATATAATTAAACAAACAAAAACTAAATGTGTTGAACACTCCCTTAAGGTGCCCAAAGTGAAATCACACTCTATTGGTGTATATTTTCTCAATAATAGTCTAATTATCGCTGTGGTGCTAGACAGCACCTGTCGTGTTGTCTCTATGAAATCACTTGGCAAAAATGTGCTTGCGGGAGCAGATGTGAGGCTGTGCGTAATGGATGATTTATGGGAGCGGAGAAATGAGTGAGTGCGGCAACACACAGCATATTTCAATCTCTTATGTATAGATCCAAAGAGTTTATTAATAATGAACATCCTGCCTGTAGTGTTTGGGTATCAGTGGGGCCAGTTTGGCTCTGCAACAGGTAGGGAATTGGATGTGTCGCAGTGTTAACCAAACAATCTGTTGATAAATTTGACAGGTTGATGTTGAACCCTTGCTACAGGGAACAATGAAAACTGCAATAACTCTTCAGTTAAGGACTGCCAAACTTTTAATGTGTTTCCATCATTTCACTGACAACTGCTTCCCCAATCTCTGCAAGTTCAACGCAGGATTCGTAAAAAGGTTGTCCTTGAAACATGGGTCAGTGCCCAGTTTGTTTGGACAAGCTTGCTCCTCCGAATCACAACCTGCAAGTATGATTAATAATTGTTGCTGTAATGTTCTGTAGAGCATGCAAAATATGTTGTGTTGTGTTGTGTAGAGTAGCCTCTCGCAAGGGGGGGGGTTTGGAAAGATGAATCTTCGAACTAATCGTTTGAGAGTCGTTGAGAAATAAGGTAAATTTAAATGCATATTATAAGAAAATTAAAGTGCTTTTTGACCTTGCATGCATGTAAACCTGTTGTTGGGGACTCCCAAAACCAAATTATGAACCTTTCAAATAGCATAATAGGGGCACTTTAAGCAGCACAACATTTTTTTTCTTCATTTTATTTATTTAAAAGGGGAAGAGGGACATTTTCAGCAACAACAACAAAAAAAGTTCATGAAAAAAAGCAGCATAAACATACTTTTTGTGTTGACTAAAGAATGTTAATCATTTGTTTTCGACCAAATGCAACCAAAACCCATAAACCCCATAAAGCAACACAATAACAATAAGTTGTTGCATTTTTAGCATCAGGAAGTTGTATTTTCAAGAGGACCCCATTGACCTTATAGGCTCATGCTGTTTTCCTTTCTGTGATTGCAGCACTCCTCCAGGGAGTGTGGAATCTAACATCACCGCTTGCATATTCAGCTTCACAGACTGTTACCGCCTTAATCCGCCATCATGTCCAGTTCCTGCTCTAATTGTGCAACTGCACACTTTGAAGCCGCTTCCTTATATCATTTTGACTCAACAGGCACAACTGCCGTTGTGAGCAGGGGAAATAGAGCAAGGCAGTGAATCAAAGCTTGCTCTGCATGGGTTAAGGTCGGATCATGCGTTACGCACACATTCGTCAATGGTTCCCAGCAGGCAGAGTTTTAATGAGACAGAGACATGGCTCCTGTGTGGAGTGCTTGGGTGGTTCTCAGCGGCCCTGGATGGGAGCTCTGAGAGTGGGATAACAGCCTCCGCTCCAACAGGCTCACCAATCACCCACGCCAACCAGTGCAAGACCGCTAAAATGATCAATCAATATACTCCAGAGGAGATGTCGGGTGTGTGGGCAGAAAGAAAAGCAAGCCAAATACACAGTTATCTCTCACTTGCTCTGCTTTTCGCAGAATGCATTGTCATTGCTGTTTCTCTCTCTTAAAAGATATGGTTGCAGTCTTATTCAGTAAAAAAAATGAATAATCTGATATGTGACAGACATGTGAAACCTTAATAATCAAGAGTGAATGACAAAAAAAACAGATAATTCTGATGCTCACCAGGCGTTCAGACATGGGGGTCTTGTCCATGGCAGGGAGATGCTGTTCGAGGGCCAGTACGATGCAGTTGGCGATGATGGTAGTGAGGATCAGGTACTCAAATGGAGTGGATGAGTCAAGGAAAAATACCAGAATAATAACAAACATAACAAATTCAAAAACATTCTAAAGAGGAAGACTGTGCAAAATAAAAGTGAACGAGATAATGTATCTATAGCGCGATGTAAATTCAACCGTAAATGTGCTGATACATGTGCTTTAAAATACTGGCTTAAAGGGAGAGAGAACCAAAAAAAAGATAATTATTCACCCTAACGTCATTCCAAACCTGACATTTTCAGAATGTTTTTTTATTTTATTTCATGCAATGATAGCATGCTGCAGGTGTTTTTTAATTTGTGAGTAAAAACGTCCAAGTATCATCAATTTATATATCAGACCTTGTTTTGCTCATAAACTAAAAAACCCCATTATAAAAACAAAACTGAAAATTTCGAAACAACCCACAGCTAATTAGTATTTCTGGTTTTGACATCACGGCTGCAGCCCTCTATGGGGTTGTATGTTGTTCATTGACTTTCCAAAGATCTTCTTTTGTGTTCCACAGAAGAAATTAAAGGGAGGAATACCATACATGACTTTTAAAATCTGAACAGATTTTAAAACACTATGCATCATATATTTGCCAACTTTGTAAACGGTTACAGAGAAAGACTGGGCATCATAAACTAAATGACTGAGGATCGCACACTATCAGACTTTCAAATTGTTCCGAACACAACAAACTCATTCACAAACAGTGTTAGGAGATGAGAAACAATTCAAAAACATAATCACTGTGTCCAAATATGCCTACTTCCATATTATATAGTAGGTGAAAAACAGTACACGAAAAGAGTAGCATGTCCAAACTTACAGTATTCATATTTGATGGCCATGGGAGAGGATTTGTGAAGTGACGCAACTGGTGCTGGTAGGTCATGTGACAGTAATACTACCCATATTATAGAACATACTTTTTTAACAGACACAAAGTAAGTTTCAAATCAAATATAGTGCCATACTAGAAAGTATGCAATTTCGGACACAGCTTATTTTTTCTAAAATCTGCTCAAAATATCAATCCTCCAACAAGATGAAATCAAATTCTGAAGCTATAAAATCGTGGATGTTTCCATCATAAACGACGTGATTTTCTGCAAAATCTGTCAACTCTGACTGTCCAAAATCTACAAACCAGCTCTGTCTTTCGGCAACTAGTGTCGACCCATCCAGACAACAATCAGGGCAAAAATCTGTACTGAAGTTGTGTATTCCAACCTTAAGTTCTACAGATTTAGAATGACATAAGGGTGAACTATCACTCTAAAAGCATTCCTCAGGAATAACTACTTGCGAATTTCCCCCACACTGCCCACCAAGAACAAAGGGATTGTGTCATGTAAAAACTCAATCACTAAATCATTAGGAGATGAGGAGAGAACAACCCCAACAGAGTCCAACTCACATACCTCCAAGCTTAATCAAGCAACTGACATCCAACTTTGTGTCCTTGGCATTCCTAGACAACCATGTTCAAACCCACTAGCAGTAATGCTGAATGAATTACACCACCTCCCTCCATGCTGGAAATGACATGCAGAGGTCTGGGCATAAAAGTGAGACATGCTTTGGAACATTTCAGTGCAGAGATCATGATTACCCATTAGGATGGCATGATGGTTTCTCTCTCAGCACAGTCATTTGTGCAACCTTACTGCATCTGCGAAATGTTTGTGTAAGCCCACCAATCTTGTCATTATTAAAATCTTTTTCATCCTTTTTAAAAGAAACGCTAAAAGGCTGCTAACATCTTTATGGGTGGTCAGCCATTATATTCCATTCTTTGGACAGGATCCATTTTACCAATTTATAATCCAATGCCCGTTCCCTACGGCTATAGGTCTTTATGGAATCGCTATTCATGGAGGCAAAGAATTAGAAAGGAAATGTCCAATGGCCACTTCAATTACATTCTTGTCACCCCCTTGAGGGATCTCTACATGCTATAGAAACCTACTGCTATGAATGCCTGAATTCCATAAAGATGCATTTTAAATGGACTGTACGACAAACTGGTTGTATTTATCAGAAATAAAGGCAGGATATCTGATTGCACAGTGCTGTAAAATTCTAGTAAATGTTGGAGAACTTGGAACATCAATGGTGAGGTTTCAGGACCCTGGAGAGCGCTACAGCTTTTTACAACCAAGATGCAAAAAAATAAACAAATAAATATTTTTTTTTTATAAAAATGTATTAATTAAAACCTCTCTGGGTTCATACATTTCTTCTTGAAGAACCATTTCGAATTAAATTATAAAATGTAAATTATTTTAAACTTTGACTGAATGAACCAATGCAAAAACGATATACATTGGTTACCCATATTTATTCTGTATGAACTACTAGCAACCTTGTTAACAACTTACAGTTAAGCTAATGAACTATATAATTTTATGGAATTATTAGTATCAGTAATAGTAGTAGGCAACTATTTAACGTTGCCATTACTGCTGCCGTGATTTCTCCATTAGCCACACATTAGCTTCACTTTGTTAACAACTAAATCTACAATGTTTTACACCATAGCCTTGAGACTGTTTTTCTCACTTGGTAAATGTAATCCTGAGCCACTTTGTTCAATGTTTCACCCTGTTCATTCTTTATCCTGAGTTATACATCTCACACTGTACGTTAAACCCTGCAACCGTTATTATTTGCATATTTATAAGGCCAAATCACTGAAAGAAATACAAAACGCGACCTGTAACTGCGTGTCAGTCGGTATAAAGATGCAACCGCTCTGAAACACAGTAGAAACCGTTTTGAATCTTCACTGTTCGACGTCTTAACCGCTTAGATACTGAAACTAAACAGCGCGTAAAAGTTTCTGTGACCAAACAGAGCATATGGATACTCAATGAGGAAGCGCTATGCCAGTTTTTTGATTGGTTGTCTGTTGCCAATCAATTAGCTGTAACGTTCTTACACCGCTTATTTCACACTATGTATTTGGTGGTGCCAAATCCCGTTTTCAAAACGTTACATACCCGATGGTTAAAACTAGTCTGTAACCCGGGTTTTAAAAAAAACGTTAGCCAAGGGTTATCAAGCGCTTGACTTTCCAACGTTTGAATTAGAAAATAAAAATGCTGATCTGCCAACACCCTGACACGACCACCAGCTGTCCAATGCTTTAAAGTGCGTGAACACGTGAAAACAAAGACATTTCGGTGTCAATCACCATTTCAGCACGCAACAGTTCCTTTGACATTGCCAGATCTAAAAGCGTGTATTTACACGCTTTCTAAAAAGAGTGAGATCAAATGTAGGAGTGGAGATGCCATGAAGCTATATCCATTTTCTTGAACATTAAGGATATGGCCATTCGGTTATTCTTTTGGCGTATTTCCTGATGGCATTGTCCTCACTGAAGATGAACAAAGAGCGGTTGACAGTGAAGCAGTTCTGTTTGGTTTGTTTAGGATTATATAAAGCCATTGTCCTGGCTCTCTGAGCCATCGACTGTTTGTACATTCTTTGACCGCCCGAGGGACCTCCTGCCCGGGCTCCCCCTCTCCCAGCGCCCGCTGTCCCTCCATAGCGGGTGGGCAGATCGTCTCCAAAGCGAGCCATCCTAGACATGCAGATATCCAACAGGTAAAATCCAAACTGGCATTAAATAGAAGATGAAGAGTGCACATTACAGTACAGACATCTGTTACCACTTAGAGTCTCCATCAGTCTATGTGAAGTGAAATACAAATATACAAGTCCCTTTTAACCAGCTCCCCGTGCGCCCTCGCCTCACTCCATTGCTCAGAAAATTGCACAAAAGAGAAACTTGTCATAGAAATGTCATTCCCGTTGAGTGCATTTCAAACAATGGAAAATGTGTAACCTTCCAATTCGTGCCACATCCACCCAACACAATCTGATCCAGCTGACAGGTCACGAAACCAAAATGTGCACCATCACTTACGCGTCACGCTAGACGGAAAAAACGAGCTGGTGGAATCAAAAGCGCGAATAAAGGTATTCCATATGCACGTACAAACGTTTTTTCTCTTCAGCAATGATTTGCTTTGCACACAACAACTGCACTTGGAGAAGCGCACGGTACGAATGGTGCCAAATGAATGGACGCTGCGCGAGGCTCTCACACGTGACGCAAACGGCCCTAGAGGCAGGACCACCTGCTGGAGAGCGCGTGAGGGGGAGGGTGTCTTAATTGATCATCAATGAATTATATTTATAACCGTTTGTCTTATTGTTTGCTTAGTGTCCATTTGAAAAGGAAGTAAAAGCGCCAAGCAAAAGCTCTTCGTTGTTAATAAATTACTAAATTTGAATCTTAAAAGATTTTTGAATTGTTTATAATAGAATAGAACATTAATGGCCAAAATCAGTGGCACCATTACACAAAAGCGAAATGTTGATTGCCTGTTGTTGTCAGTCAGTAAATTATCAAGCTGCATTGTGTGCCTTTGTTTAGCTATTTTAATGCATACTAATACACACATATGCCACATATACACATTTTCATAATACATTTGCACAAATTTGATGATTGAACATACAAATCTAATTTTAAACATGGAAATAAATGGAAAGTTTCTGGGTTTGAAGGTTATGGGAGGGGGGGAAATATTAAGAAATATGCAAGACTGCACTATAGGTCACTATCAAAGAAGCAAATTTGTTATCACTAAAATACGGGCACAGATTGAAATATGCTCCTTGGATCAGTTTCAAATCATGTTGTACCACGTCATAATATATTAATACGTTATATATTTATATATTACAATATATTATATACAATACATATGTTGTGTTGTTTTTATATTTAGCTAATTATATTTTCTACCTTAATACTCACAGAACCTTTTTACATTTATATTTAAAATCTTAAAACATTAGAATTACAATTAATTAAAACATTGCATTAGCTGGTCTCCATATAGGCAAAACATGACTCCACCCAGGGCATCTCCACCTCTGCAAAGGAAAGGCTGAAAGAAAAGTATTCAGCATGTCCAGATGTGAAGCTCAAGGCATTAAGGGTCAGTAAGTGTGAAGAATTTTCTGTGTGTGCATGCAGCCAGTCCAGACCCAGAGGCACAAAATCTCATGAGAGACTCCAGGCTGTTGAGCTAATCTCTGGATGTGTGGCATACCAGAGCTCCATCCTACAACACCCTAGGGCATTGCAGTGGAAAGGATTCAACACACACACACAGTTGGAAGATACAAGGGAAATAAGTTTTCAATCAGGACAGTTCTTGGATCGCTGTATTTTTTTTCAAGAATATTTTCCTGTTGATATGATTTATATTCATTGAAAAAAAACAAAAAGATCACAGTTCCCACAAAAATACTAAGTAGCAAAAACTTTTTTGAACATTGATAACTGTTATTAAGAATTAAACAAGAATAAGCAATAATTATTGAGCATCAATTCAGCATATTAGAATATATAATGCACTAAATAATATTTTTTTCTTTATTTCATGAGTTTTGATATTTTACCTTGCACAATTCACCTTTTGAGGCCACTGTACAGTTGAGCCTTTAGGCCCCCTAGTGGCTAATAGAATGAATTAAAATGATAAATTGTGATTGTGTTAAGTTCTCAGTATTGACCTTTAACAGCGTTAAGCTTTAAATTTACAGCAGACCACGATAAAGAAGTTAATAACCTTCAGTGTGGGTTACATTACAAATGACTTTCATCCCCTGCTGCTCACCTCTCCTCCCATGCTGCTACCTGCTCTTGATACGTTTCATGGGCGTTGATGATATCGGTGTTCTTCAGGTCACTGGGCCTCTCCAGCTCTACCACAGTGTCATATTTGCTACATTCTGCAGTGTTCTGGTCATCTCTGGCAGTTTGGCTCTCCTCATACAGACGGTCCTTGCTGGATAGTTCTGTTAAAGCTGCTCTTCTGTTCCTCTGATTGTCAGGTGGCTCAGAAGACTGAGCCCAGGAACTGAACTCTGTGCCCAGAGTCAACATCCGTCATGTTCCAAGTGTGGCCAATCGGGCGGCTTTATTTTTGAAATAAGAGGAGAGATGATAAACAGACTGACTCAAAGAAATCACACACATTACAGGGAAATGAAAGAAGTGAGACAAATGCATGCTTGGTATAGGGCCAATTATAACGGACTTCCTGTCATTTTTACGCTATATAAAGTAATAATTCTTACAAAATTCATATTTAGGGCCTACCGTATAAGTATTTTTGCATTATGACAGTTTTCATAATTACAATTAAACAATAAAAATAAAACTACTACAAAATAATTGCCCTACAATTCTTGTTACTAGTAAGCCAAAAACAAAAAAATCTTATTACAATAATGAAAATAAATAAATAAAAATTATATATTACTGTAGTTTGTACTTATATTAATTTGAATACAAATTTCATTGCATAACAGTAATTCTTTAGCAATAAAAAATGTATTATTATTATTATGATCAATAACGCTGAGAATAATTGGAATGAAAAAAGGTAATGATTAAAAAAAACATTCCTTATTGTCATCAAAGTAAATATCACAATGCAAAAAAATCAGTTTTGGTTTTTGAAATTTATGGAAGCCTGTTTCGCCACAGGACAAAAACTAGTACAATTGCGACTTTTTCCTCATAATTTAAAAATGTATATCTTACAATTCAAACTTTTCCCCCCCAGAATTGCTTGATATAAGCTCAGAATTGTGAGATATAAATGCAGAATTGTGAGATAAAAAGTCTCAATACCTTTTTTTTTTAATCCTTTGGCAGAAAAAAAGATGTAAACTAGGAATTAAGAGAAAAAAAGACACAATTGTAAGATATAAATGTGAAATTGTAAGGTGTAAACTCAGAATTGTGGGATGCAAACACTGAATTGTGAGAAGAAAAAAAAAGTCAGAATTGTGAGATAAAATGACTGCAATTACCTTATTCATTTTTTTTTACTTGTGGTAGAAACAAGCTTTTATAGTAACACAACCTGGACATGTTTTTTTGAGATTCACCCACAAAAAGACATTCAGTCTCAGCTCATCATTTAATGTCACTAAACCTAAATGCCACTAAATGTCACTAAAGCATTATCTATCATTAAAATAAGTGAAGAGTTCACTGTGATACAGATGAATAACAATCCACAACCCAGTTAATGACACGGCAACCTCGAAAGACAAACCCAGTGAACATCCTACCATAGATAACAGCGGATTTTCTCTCCTTCCAGTCAGAGTTATGCCGTGTTGACCCCTTCATTGCCCTGCCCATTTGTTAACCTTGTGCAGCTCTACGAATTTACACGATCCAGCTTCTCAGCCATAACTGTGTATCCACAAAGCGTGATCCTCATAACTGTACTGACCGCTGTAATAGTGAACAGGTCTTAAAGTTTGCAACTGTGGAATGCGGAAAAGCAGGTTTCCTGTCTCATTAGTTAAAAGCCTTTATCGGCAAAGTCAGAGGGCCTCAATCATCAGCTCACATTTCATTGGATCAATTACAACCAGAATCTCAAGTAATCAGGAAGAGAATAATCAAAGAGTTCATAAAAGTGAGAAAAAAAAACACCTCTTGATAAATGATCAAAAGGCTTCCTGTTTTGCATTGCAAAACTCCTTGGGTCTCATTTGTGGCCACATGGGTTAAAAGTGTAACTCCAAAAAATTATCTGCTTCCTCAAAAAGCGTTATGGGATGAACAGCAGAGATTGTTAGTTCCAGATTCGCAAAACTAGTATTTATCATCGTACTTCATGTTATTTTTTACATAACAGTGACAGAGATGTTTCTCTTTTATGAGTAGTAAATTTATTGAAAAAGAAAAACACAACCAGTAAGATTGTGCATCACGTTTCACTGTCCAGAAATGTGTTACCGTTTTCGTTGTTCCCCCTCATTTTGCAGTGTTTTGAATCTCTATGTCTGGATTTGCACAAAGGACATGACTACACTTATCAACATTTAAAAAGACTGTAATAGTTTCACTATCAACATGAACTTATGGAACAAAATCGATGCAGGCTAACTATGTCAAACTACAGTTAGAAAAAACAGATGCCAATTTAAAAATACAAATGAAAAGGAAAAAAAAAATGAAACACTTGCTTCTTCACCATATTTTACAACTTGTATTCACTTGGTGAGTAATAAAAAATTAACATAACAAAAACCTTTTTCAGCACCATTTGCGTTTTCCTACACCCCACCACTTTTCACTCCACCAGAGTGAAACGTTCCAGTCCTATTCCTAAAGCACATGTCTCAAAAGCATGCTAATAGGTTCCATCATTGTGACCGAAAGTACGTACAGAAATATTTTACAGTTTGCATTTAACAACAGCCGTGTCTATCCAGGCCAGTAACATGCAGGAAATAACCCATAGGGCTTGTTTTTAAACTTGTCCCAAATTAATTTGCACTTCCAGTGGCAATTCGCCATTAAAACGCATTTATACTTAAGAACTGGGCTTATTACTGGGAGGAAATAGGCCAAAAATGGCCTTTTCATGATTTTGGTAGCACTGACATGACGTCCTGCGTCTGTGAACCAATCAGAGGACACGCTCGACGGGCGCTTATTTCCAATGATTGCTAGCCAATAGCTCATCTCAAGTTAATGCAGCCCACTGAATGACTCAGAAAAGGCTACTGGGAAAAAAAGGTTGGTCTTTGAATACCTTTACATAATTTTCTGCATATTCTGTGAATGTACAAAAACTAAAATCAGAAGAAAAGTAAAACAAACTGATGCAAACATTATTTGAAACTCATTTGGGAATTGATTGTTCGAAACTGTGAAGAATAAAGTTCATAAAAGATGACAAGAAGTGTGTACGCGAATGGCGCAGAAGTTCGAGTCAAGGTAGTACTCAACGGAAACCTGCTGCAAAGTCCATAAATTGGCTCAAACAGGTTCATTCTCAAGAGAGAGAAAAAAAAAAATCCACTTTGAGCTCTTTTCATGATGTCGAACAAGATGTATCGTGGTCCAAAGGGGCGGGGTGACAATAAAAAACCTATACAAAATGTGCGTACTGAACACCCTGAAAAAACAGTCCAATTGTGCACCTCTCACCTTCAAGACTTTAAACCCTTACACTGTTTCAACCAATCAGGCTTTCAGATCAGCAGAGCTAAACGTGGCACTGTGGGTGTGGCATCAAGTGGCCCGGGTTGGTCTTATTAGAGATAGCAGAGGTACCAGCTGGTGATGGGAAGCGACCGTAAAAGTAGGAGAACCGGATGTTTTATGCTAGAAAGATGGTTGTCAGAGGGTTTAGCTGGGGCTGGATGGGGTGGACGAGCTGGTATCGGGCAAGGCGCTGGGCTGCTGGTCTCCCGGCGTACTATCTGCCTGCCTCTGGGCGATGGCAGTGGCTGAGTGCTTGCATTTGGATGAGCCACACTGGCATCTGAACAGCTTCCCTTTTACATCCCAGAAGTGATCACCGTAATCAAACCTGAGATGGGGAGAGAAATTCCAATTTTATATTCCGGTAAAAATAAATGAGCTCCAACAAATGCATTCATGAAGTGCATGATGGGGAAACTAACATGTTGAGTCAATCTAAATTGAGTATTTGCAAGTAAATGGACAATGATGTAAATCAGACCAAAGTTCATCTCCAGCACTGATGTTCTTGCAGGCGAAGAACGCGATGTGAGGAAATCTGAGGTCCTGGTGAGAGGTGAACACCCGACAGGGGAACAGATTCGGCTCACAGTGATGGTTTATGAAGCGGCTGATGTTGCCGTAGAAACGTGCATCAACGCAGTACATATCACCCACCTGCAACAGCAGTGACAGAAAATAAATTGAGAAGGTGTTTGTAGAGTGAGGTCAGACTGAAGAGAATGGGAGGGGCTCAACAATAAGGATTTCTTTTTTTATTATTCGTTTTAAATAAATAAATACATAAATAAATACATACAGGTAAAATATGTAAGATTTAAAAAAAAAAAAAAAAAAAAAAAAAAAAAAACAAGCAAACATAATATTGTGAAATATTACAATTTAAAATGTTCTGTTTCAATATACTGTATTTTAAAATTTAATTTATTCCTGTAATTGTAAAGCTGACTTTTCAGTAGCCATTACTCCAGTCTTCAGTGTCACATGATCCTTCAGAAATCATTCTAATATGCTGATTTGGTGCTCAAGAAATATTGCTTATCATCATCAATGTTTAAAACTGTTGTGCTGCTTAATATTTTTGAGGAAACGGTGATATATTTTTTAAAAAGATGAATAGAAAGAACAGCATATTTAAAACAAAAAATTGATTTTAACAATGTGTAAGGCTTTTACTGTTCCTTCTGATCAATTTAATGCATCCTTTTTGAATAAAAGTTTAAATATTTCATTAATTATTTATTTAAAGTATTAATTACCTTATTCATTTAATAATACTTTTAAAAATTATTAATTTAATTAATTTCTTATCATAGTTGTTTTCAGTACTTCAGTTTTCTCCCTTTGTGGTTGCTTTCTTGCATGCTGGTTAGACTCATCCTTCTAAATGGATGGTTCTTGGCCAGAATAAGCTGTAGTGCAGCCCAGATTTTATGCCATCAGTCCAACATCTGTCTAAGCAAGAATACTGAAGGCCTAAAATACAAGTACTAAAAGTATAACGGTACAGCCAAATAAATCATTCTTCTGTGCTGACAGAGGTCATCTAAACGATATATGCAAAATGTGCTTGCAGGCATGCAGATAATCCACTATTGACGGGGAGCAGACAGGAGAGGTAATGTGATTTTGAAGGGAAGTCATCCTAGGATGGCAATACCTTGCTGTCCAGACTGAAAAGATAGGAGTCATTCTCTCTGACATCTGCTTCAGCGTCAGAGATGATTTCACCCACGTATCTGTTGGAAGGAAATGAGACATTAGGGTACAAACACACTAAGCACACAATCGTATCCATACTGACACACCTAAACAAACATCTGCACAGCCACACACACACACTCCAGACTGAAACAGGAAGATATAACGCAGGCCTCAATCACCTTTAGAAACATCATAAAGCTCAAAAGGGTTCTAAATAAGAAACTCACTCGCAAACAAACGTTCCTTGCGGGATATCCTGTAACGTCTTGACACCCCATCCCATCATCTGCGTCCTGAACAACTGCAGTCTTATCCTAAGAAATCATTTAAGAGAAAACCACTCAATTCAGATCATATACTACAATAGAACAACAAGTACATGCGAATACTAAATAGTTGGTCAGGGTGATTAATTGTCTGATTTTTAAATGATTCTACATAGTTTTTGGAGTGCACATTTCCTGTTTTCAAATATTACCAAGTGAATTTTTTGTCAAATAAACTTCAGGATTTTATGTGTAGATTGTAGAATTTAAAAAATGTGAGGAACCTCAGTCCGTTCTGTACCACACGGTTTTTGCAGGTTCTCCAGCAGGAGCAGGCGTGGTTGCACTCGAATATAAGGGGTGGCTCCTCATTGCTGAACTCGGGCAGCAGACGGCTCTCCTGACGCCACAAACACAAAACATTTGAACTCTCATACTAAAATGAACATTGCAACATGTCAATGGTGCTTGGCAATTCAAAACTCGCCACCATGATGCTAGATTGCATAGAATGGTTTTCAGGGCATTGGTATGCAGTTTGCTAGGGTGTTCTGGGTGGTTTCTACATAGGTTTTTACTTTATTATTGTTCATAGATAATGCTCAGGTCCCCTATTATTTATCCGTTTTATCGCTTAGATAAAGATATCAATATTACCTAAGCTAGTTTAATACTTTAAATACAATTAACAAACACCTAACTCCAAGTATGGGCATTAGTAACAGCGATATTTGATTTAGCACCACTTATACTTTTGACGACCATTTCGCATGGTCTTGTACTTAGCTAGTTCCACCTCTAGGTGGAGATGCTTGCCAAGTCAAATGACATTAACAGCTAGTAAGAGCTAGTAATTCATGTAACTGTGCTTCAAAATAACCCAAATTTTCCCAATTTACAGATATAACATCAGGAGTGAATGACAGAGTGCTGACTGTTTAGGTTCTATGGATGGAGAGCTCAGAAATTGACTTACTTTATCATACCAGCAGCGCAGGCTGAGTTGGCCACACATGCAGCTAGCTGAGGAGCAATCGTCTTTACAGACGCAGTACTGCAGAGTGAAATACCAATTATACATCTTTTTCCTTCGTTTAGAGATTTATTACTCGTTCAATGTTCTGTCTTAGCTAACTAGCCAACTCAAATTTGTCAACAGTGCCAAGACGATTAATTGTCGTTCTTATATCAATGAGATTTGAAAAGTGTTACAATAAAAACAGGACTTCAGCTTGTCTACCTGCAAGTGGGTGATATTTTTGTCAATGTTCATTGGGGATGTCACACAGCTTTCAGGGACATATTTGTAGTTGTCAGGACAGGGTTCGCTATCCACCGCATTCACACACGGGATGGGGACTTTCTCGTAGCCTCTGGCGATGTCCCTAAGCACAATTACACGGTAATTTAAAAGCTAATTTAGGTCTTAATTATGGTTTAAATAAACATGTCAATACTGTGAGCTGAAGGACAATGAGATATGAATTAAGTGGATCTACCTGTTGAGAAGCTTCTCTACAGGGCCAGTCTGGTTGCTGTTAGCTTCTCTCTGCTTTTTACTGGCTTGAAGGGCGGTCCAAACTTTCGAGTTCTGGCTGCAGCACTCCATTGGCGTCTCTCCCTCTTTGTTCTTAAGGCTTATGCCAGCACCTCGTGACAGAAACAAGCTACAGGAGGCACAAAAGAGGTTATCTTAAAAGTTAGGACAAACAAAATGAAAAAAAAAAAACATTATTATTATTATTACTATTACTACCATTTTCCCAAAACATTTTTTGGTCTTAGACACATTTTCATCCTCAGTGTAAATATTTTGTTTTGATTCAATGGTTTCAAACAAACCAATTCTAAGGATGAAAAAAATATATGTGTAATCCATCTTCGCCTGTGGCAATATTACATTCAGGACTCCAACCAACCACTGTAACTGCCTGCCAACGGATCAATAATAAAATTTGTCCAGGAAATGATGAGAGCAAGCCTTTATTGCTAGTGTCCAGCTTCAATAAATCTACATGACATTGATCCAGTCTCCGATAAAAAAAATGCAGCTTTAAGCTGATTGGGATCTACACAAGCACCTGATTAGACTGCAGTACATCGGATATGGGAGTAATCCTGCAGTACAATTATCTTCTAGGAGGACGGCTCAGACGTCACTAAGTTGTAAATAAGCCTAGCTCACTACAGACCTGTGAGATTGAAAGGAAGTTTCCCAATCAATCAGTCTGGATCGATAAAACCTAGTGGAGGTTCACTCACTTCACACAGTCGAGCCGGCTCTCCCTTGACGCTATGTGCATCGGTGAGTCTCCGTGGATGTTGACGGTGTTCAGATCACACTTCGCACCCAGCAGAATCTCAGCTATCTCCACACAGCCAGAGAATGCCGCCCAGTGCAGACAGATATTTTCCTCCTAGAATCAGAGTTGACGATTGCAACAGATCAAATACACTGCATTTTAAACAGTCTGTCATCTAAACCTATGCAAGAATTTAAAATTTGACAAAGTAAACTACAAAATACTGTAAAACTGCAGATGTAACTTTGATGCAGTTTTACTGCAGTTTCCATATACAAAACACAGCACACAGACCTTGTCTCGGATGTTGATGTTAGCCCCTTTGGAGAGCAAGAGTTTTACTTGGTCTGCATGTTTGTACTCCGTGGCCCAAATCATGGCTGTCCATCCTCCATCATCCTGGAACAAGAAATGCAACTACATCTCAGTATTTTTGACTCCAATGGCTCCCACTGTCCACAACAATATTGAAAGCACCATTAATTTGAAGGATTATCAGGATTTTTACAAAATTGTTTTTCCTCACAATTACTATGCAATGAAATACTTTGAAGTTTGAAATAACTATAACAACGTATATTCATTACAAAAATGCCCATGGCTTTTTAAGATTTTATTATTTTTCATGGCTTTTCCAGGTCTAGAAACCACACTTTTAAAAGTAATAAAAAATTTATATTTAAATGCAAATAATTTTATGTAATCTTGAGGCCCTCTAGTTGAGAACTACTGGCATATACCATAAACCACAAAAATAAATAAATAAATAATACATCAAGGTTAAGATAAAACTTTTTTAATGGATAAGTGAAAAGTTATTTTGTTATGGTTATTAAAAGCCAAAGAAAAAATGTCCAAAGCGATAAAATATTTTGTACTGTGTTGTTTAGAGGAATTTCAGATTTTATTTTTTTAATGACCAAAAAAAAAAAATAATTTTGAGTGTATCATTAACGTGCCTTGTAATCTTTGAGAAACTCACAACAAGAATCAGTAGGAGTAGTTTTCAGTTGGATGGAGGACTATTGGTGCAGTTGTGAAATTCCTGAGATATGTTTGGCAGAGTCTATTGACTCAAATGGTGGAAATCCCCAAAAACACCATCTCGCATTCTCAAAATATTTTTACAAATGTTAAATGTAACAGAAGTTCCAAAACCTGGCAGTTAATATCTACAAGGCCTGTAGACAGCAAATGTTGTACAATGCCAAAATGTCCAGTCTTAGCAGCAAGATGGAGACATGTTGAACCTTCAACATCCTGAAAAGAAAAGGAAACAGGATGTGAACAGGCTTCAAACAGAGTGGATGTTCCTCAAAAAGCATTTGATTACAGAATGTACTAAACAGACTGGCTTATCAACCCTCTTGCTTGTGGCAGCTGACCTTGTGAGAGACGATGGCTCCAGCCCTCAGAAGATAGCGTACTGTGTCAAGATGATTGTTCTCACAGGCCTCCATCAGGGGAGTCCGCTGGTCCTCATCACACATGTCAAGGTTTGCACCAGCCTGAAGAATAAAATCACTGATTTGAATGATAATGTCAAAGTCATTGAGGTCAAACCAGGTGTGACACATCAGGAAATGTTCTAACTGTATATGCAAATGAGATAAGAACTACTTCAGGGTTCTCTTTTGTGTTTCACAGAAAAAAAGAAAGTCATACAGGTGGGGTGAATTAATGATGAATTTTCATCTTTGAGTTAATACTAGTTCATTAGCATTTGCCCTCACCTGCACCAGCATATGGCAGACTTCCTGATGACCTGCTTCAGCTGCTACATGGAGCGGTGTGCGTTTGTTTTGGCTCTCCATTTTAAAGTTAGGATCTATCCCATCCACTGAGAATGACAAAGGTGGTTTCCAGCACAAAGCAGAGAACCATGAATAAGACATAACTTTATATTCATCTCTCTTACCCAACATCAATAGCACCTTCTGCAGCTCCCCTTGTTTGGCAGAAATGTACAGCTGTTTTGGGTGAAACCGAAGCTTCTTGGGTCTTGGAGTAGAAAAAATGATGGTAATGAGTCAGTGTAAATTGTACTTCATAAAGACTTCATAATGATTGAACCCCATGTTAGTATGGATAATGTGGCCATAATAGTTGGTTTTCTTACTTCTCTGCATCTAGAGCCAGCAGGACACTTTCCAGAGTTTCTTTAGTGGTTCCTGGTGGAGGTCCGGTTCCGGATCCAGCTCCTACAGGTCCGGTTCTGGAGCCCAACGGTGACACAGATGTGTCCTGTGACCGTGGAGGTTTGGGTAAGGTGCTATCTGCTTTGCCCTCTCCAAGAATAGAGAGCCGAGTGGACCTTTATTGACCAAAAAATCAATTTTAACCCAAAAGTTGGAGAAACAAACAAAAAAATCCTACAAGGATGCTGATTAAGAAAGTCCTACCTAGGTACACAACATTAAACAGCTTACACATACCCTCCAGTGGTGGTGTCTGCTTTGCCCTCTGAGGTGGTGGGCGCGCAGGAGCCGTGGGTGAGAGGCACAGTAGACGTCGTATCAGCCTTGGCAATGGTGACCTCTTTCGCCTTGCTGACCTCCTCTCCACAGTGTGGACAAAAGCTCTGACCGTTGAGCACCGAGGAACAGGCTCGATGAAACCGGTGGGAGATGTTCACCTCTGGCTGACACTCCATGAAGACGCCCTGCACGATGGCCACATGAAATACCTTTGAGTGTTTTGCTCAAATGTGGCTAAAGTAAAAACTCTGGAGCTTTTCAGACACATGCACTCAGTCATGAATTTCTTGGCCAGTGGCTTGTCATGCTGAAACCCAATCAAAGATCTAAAACGTTCTCTTGGGTAAAGCCAAAGACTCACGGCTCTGCAAAAGAAGCCACAGCCTGGGCAGCACTGATGTTTGACCATGCCCGTACGATGGTCCTCACACAGAACCAGCAGTTGGACAGAGTTTGAAGGCCTCATCATCTCGTGCTTCAGCACTGCACTCTGACAACGGCTCAGCTACCCCCAGAACAACAGGGAACCAATTAGAATAGAGTTCAGAACCTTCTTTTTTTTAAAAGAGTAAAAAAACGTGTATTGTAACATGAAAAATGACAATACAGAAAAAGAAGATGCCAAGTATTCAGCAGTTAGATGAATCCTAGGACCTTCTGTACTGAACCGAATTATTCATCTCATTTCATTTCAAAAATTGGTACCCATATTCAGATGGTATATAGCAGGTGTTCTTAACTCTGGCCTTCAAGGTCCAGTTTTCTGCAGAGTTTAGCTCAAACCACATCAAACACACTTGAGCAAGCTAATAAAAATCTTCAGGATTACTAGGAAGGCAGGCCAGTTGGATCAAAAAGTGAGGGCCTGAGCTTGAGGACCTCGAGATCTCAAAGACATCAAGGGCCAGAGTTGAGTACCCATGGTATATAATGAGATAATGTACTCCTGAAAACGCAATCACTGCCACCATCATTGTTCTACATATTCACAAGAGTAACCATCTCACCTGGCCATCAATGCTCTCTGTCGCCATACACTTCCTGTCCGCAAGCGTGAGAATCTCTCGGCTCTTGGGCATCTCCATTCGACAGCTGCAAAGGGGCAGTTCCTGCACCATGTTGGTGTCTGTGCTCTCCACTGACCCTGAAACAGCTAAGAAACACCATCTGTAAGACTCTAATAATCATGAAAGAGCTTAAAGACCATCATTTTGCAAACACAGAAGGCAGGAAGTCAATGTTACTTCAAAATCAGATGTATATCGATGGAAAATATTGCATAGATAGCACAAACTGCTTCAGGATTACTCTTCAATAGACACATGACCACCAGGGGGCACCATATCAGTTGAGTCTTGATGACTCATTTTATCCAAGATGGAGGCCACCACAAAGGCCTTACAACACAAATTTACACAAATGTGTCTTTCAAGACACTGACATCGAAACCAATCAGATGGTAAAGCCTAAAGACATAAAAATGTATTTGTAACTAGATGAAGCAGCCAATTTCTACTTTTAACTTGAAGAATTGAACAGATTGCAACTTAAGACTCATTTCTATAGCATTAAACCAGAAACAGACTTCCCCATGCACTTCATAATATAGTCAAAAAGCAAACCATCGTTTTCATCTACAAGATCATTCACTGCTATCTCAATTTAAATACCCAAAAATGTATATATTAATAATAATTCAGGATTTAATTTCACCTGTACTTGGAGATGTCAGTAAAGCTTCCTGTGCTGCTAGGTCGAGGGAGTCTAGTGGGACTTCTTTATACTCTTTCCTGTTGTCAGAAGGGGCTGATGGGGAGCTCTGGCTCTCAGATAGAGACTGGGACTCCATTCCTGGAGTTATGATGGGACAGATTTGTAAATGAAAGTCATTAATAGCTGAGGTGTTGCCCTACAGCAGATATTCAAGGAAAACGGGCCTTTTAACATTTACTGTACCTGATAGTCCTTCTGTTTTCGCTTTCAATTTCCTCTTGCGTTTCCTTGATGGTCGGAGCCAGGCATGGTCCCCCTTGACTTTCTTTTTCCATTTCTTTTTCAAACTGGACTCTGAACTCTGAGGAGGACAGAAGGAACTTACAGTCCACAAACTGAAACAAAGCATTATCTCAGGAACCTCAAATCAGATCTGTGAAACTCACTGGACTCAAAGCATTGTGTGCAAATAACTCTTGGTTATGCTGTGTCTTCTGATAGAATGTTTGTGAACTCACCAAGTCTGATTCATCCCCTTCCTCTTCACCTTCGCCTTCTGGTGACTCCTCAGACTCCTGTTCTTCTTCAAGAGGCTTTTGAATGAAAAATTAAAAAATAAACATCCTTCCAGAGGAATGTAATGACTAGATGCTACTCTACTTGTTCACAGGTTCAGTGAACAAGGCATTTGGACAAAAAATCCAGGAAATAACCAACAAGACGGAAAAAAAGAATGGATGAGACCATTTTTCCATTGGCTCATGAGCTTTGTTGCTGAAATTCCCACCTGAGAGACTGAATCTATCTTGGGTCCCTCCCGAGAGGCTTTGGCTCTATCCTCTCTGACCAGCTCCTCATCCTCCTCTGTGTCTTCTCCGTCCTCTGACTCTTCTTCATCAGACTCATTCTCTATTCTCTCGCCATTCACATGCACGGCTTCCTTTGACTGCTGTGAAGCCAAGGAATAAAAAGACTGGCATTAGATGTCAATGTTCACATGTCTTGGCTTTAAGAAGTACAGAAAAATTCAACCAATTAGCAATGCAAAAATATTAAAGCAGCACTATGTAACTTTTTCTGTGTTGAAAATTTGCCAAATGTATATAATGTACATCATGAATTCATCTTCCAAACCGCGTTTTTTGTCTTATTCTGAATCAATGCGGTACACTTATAATAAGTACTTATATTTGGACTATTGTAGCCTGGTCGGGTCGTCACTGCTGCGGAGTAACACATACCTGCGTGAATCGCCATAGACATAAACTTAGAGAAGTAGCTCCGGTTGGAATGTTCTTTCGTGGGATATGTGCAGTTCTGTTTATTAACCGCTAGAGCGCCAAAAGTTACATAGTGCTGCTTTAAGATAAGAATACTAATGGCCAACAATCTAAGCAACTACTCAAAGAATACTTTTAACAACACAATATAAATTATAATTTTTCACTCTTTAAGTGTGAATCTGGTGGTCCTATCTCTGACCTGAGGGTTGGGTGGAGACTGGGACATACGCTGAAACATCTCCAGAACTGTGCGTTGTTTCAAAACTTTATTTTTCTTCTTGGGCACAAGACTATACATTCCCATCTTTCTTTTCTTCCTCCTTGACACGGCTGCTACTGAGGGAGAGACAGGTCTGGGTTCAACTGTCAATGCATAAAGAGAGAATTCTGGTATACAGGCTTGTTTTTAAGCACTTGTTTCTTTGTAAAAGCAATCTGATAATTTCCATGAAAAACTGTAAAATTTAGGTTAGATTATCTGCATTTCAATTTGAACTTGAACCATGTTTGATGTAAAGTCAAATATAATTGAGGAACATGTTGCTGCCAATTTGGTGCAATCAAAACTTCTTAACAACTAATTACAGTTTCACCAGACATTTCCATTTGTCCACTATTTTCACTGAGTAGCTGAGGTAAGCTGTATATTTTGTAAATTTTAATATGTAATCTGGTAGTGCCAAAAATACATATGTATACTGCATACGTAATTTTTTTAATTCAATACTTTATTTAATTTGAATAAAATGAAAAATTAAATAAATTTTAAAAATCACACTAAAACAAACAGTATAAAAAATAAATATATTTACTAAAGATTAAATTATTTAATATTAAAACATAACATTAAGCGATCTAAAAAAAATTGGGAAATTAGCACAATGGAATATACAACAATGGCCTGTATAGATAAATAATAATAAAAAAAATCTTTCATAAAATTATATTGTTCTATCAATATAATGATATATTGCCCATCCCAAACTTTTTTCATAAATGTATGTAAAAAAAAAAATGTAAATGGAATACCACATCAAAAACGTTTTAGAGTGACAAGGTTTGTTGGAAACAAAGAAAGGCAATACAGTGTATAACCTGTTTGTGGCTTGGCTGGTGTGGTGTTCAGTACAGATGTGGCGTCAGTTTGGCTTTGAGGTAGCTGATTCTGGATTGGAGATGGCTGAGGCTGCACTGTCTCTGGTTTGCCTAGACTGTCATCTTTCACCATGACTGGCTCCTTATTTTCCCTATTCAAAAGCTGAAGGAGGAACAGAAATGCTATTATATGTATCCATGACCATGATTCATGAGACCTAAAAAAAAAGACCAAAACACAGCATTGTGGAATGCACTGCAGTCATGACTAGTGCAGCTGACGTAGATTTTTTCATTGTGGTAAATCTTCATTACCTTTAGTGTCTGGTTTGAGACCAAAACACAGCATTGTGGAATGCACTGCAGTCATGACTAGTGCAGCTGACGTAGAATTTTTCATTGTGGTAAATCTTCATTACCTTTAGTGTCTGGTTTGAGGCCGGCCTTGACATAGTTTTGCGTGCGCGATGTATTGTTGGTGGGGGTGTATTTGATACTGTGCCGTTTTTAGTCTCTGTTTCCGCTCGTCTTTCTGTTGGGCTCGGTCCTGGGCTTGCAGCACTGTTTGAAGAACCCTGGTCTGGTGGTCGCAATGTTGAAGCTGAAGTTGGCAAGCTTTTAGTCCCATGCCCCAATGTGGAACCCCCTATGGGAGACCAGTTAGTCCTGTGTGGGGCTGACACTGTGTTTTCCTGCTGTTTGCTTAGAATATATCCATTACTGCCCACTGTAGAGCCATGGGGCAGCTCAGTCTCTGACAATCCGTTCTTCATGGTTGAGGATCGGGCTGGTGACCCTTGTGCAGACAGGTTCTGTTCAGTTCTCTTTGTGTCCATATTTTCATAGGTCCCATTCAGCTCAGTGGCCTCTCTGAGAGGGTCAGCTTGCCCGTTCGAGTGATCTTCAATCCGTTCTTCATGGTTGAGGATCGGGCTGGTGACCCTTGTGCAGACAGGTTCTGTTCAGTTCTCTTTGTGTCCATATTTTCATAGGTCCCATTCATCTCAGTGGCCTCTCTGAGAGGGTCAGCTTGCCCGTTCGAGTGATCTTCATCTCCTCCTATAAGAAACAGAACAGAAAAAGATTACTTGATTTCACAGTCTTAAGAGTTAAGTAATTATTCCAGGTTCAAAACAAGTCGGCACATAATATTGTTAAAAATAAAAGCAAAATTTGTGCTTAGAATAAAAGTAAGACACTCACAATGAAAGTAAACAGTGCCAGAGACCAGAAGCTAATATTCTGTTAAAGCACTTAAATGAATTCTTCTGTTTTAAAAAATTAAAATAAAAAAGGAAAATTAAATTACATTAAATGTAAATGTTTTGCAATATACAAAACAATTTAAATAAAACACTAAAGACTAAAGAAAAATCTAAATGTGTTAAGACATGGCTATCAAGAGCGAAACGATTAAAAAAATATTTTTATCATCCCAAATGCTCATGTATTAAAATAAATTCAGTATTTACCCTCTTCTTGATCACTGCGAGACTCTTTTGTCCCCTCGGACTTCATGGTTTCCCTCTTGCCTGAATTCCCATTGGCCAAACCGGAGGGCTGAAAACAAACACACAGTTGCATTACTGGGTTTCCATAACATATGTAATACCATGGAAAAAAGTTGTATTTGCAAACTTTGAGTATTAAAGTAGTAACAAATAATATGTCTCTTAAAGAGAGTGGAGAGAGTGCATGAAGCCAATTGATGAAACTTTACAATGTCCAAGCCAGGCTGATGGCAGGAATAACCTGTCTAAAACAATTAAAGCGGTAATGAGAATGAAAGCGACAGATCAAATTAAAGTTTGGATCTAAATTAAATGACCCACTGTTTCTAAAAATAGCAGATAATCATTATGGCCACTGCCAAAAAAACACAAACACTGGCGAGAAAGGGAAAAAAAACATGGAGACATCCCTTGGGAATATGAGAGGCTTATCCCAAAGGTTCAGTCTAAACAACATCTGAATAACAAGGGCTTTGATTGGCTGGGCTTTGAGCTGTCAATCACTCCTGAGTCAAGGTAATATTTTCAAGAGATTCAATATCTCCCAATGCTTTAAGCCATGACTGATTTCAACCAAAGCCTATGGGTTCATTATGCCTAAAAACTATAACCAATTATCAAAAAAATCATGTATTTATTAAAAATGAACCAGTCATGACCAGGCCCAATAATATCATGACTTTTATAACAACGACAACATGGAAGAATTAAGAGGAAGAGAGCAGACACTGAGGCCCAGCATGCTCTTGCTCCCTAATTGCACCATTTTTTCTCTCTCTCTCTTGCTTTCATTTTACATGTTCTGGTTGAATTGGTCACTTTCGTTCTTGGCTACTGGTCCACCGGAAGTAGACAGCTTGATCCATAGCTTGATAAAGTCCATGTGGAACATTCCTCCTGCTACGGTAAGTGAAACAAAACAAGCCACAACAAAAAAATCCCAGTTTCAGTAAGTAGATTCAAATCTTCCTGCAAAAACAAAGACAAATTTGGGAAAGTGCTGAGACTTCATGAGGACTTCATTCCTCTCTAACCCTCTAGCCCTCAATGAATACAACAAAAAATAAAGAAACTGGAAAAAAATGTGCCAACATCATGCTGGTACCATCAGATGCGTCACATCCTTGAGATCTAACGAAATCACAAGAAAACGCAACTCTAGAAAGAGTGTCCGATGCCCAGAGGTCTCGTTCCTAAAGTCAATGTCCATCTACAGGACTCCCATACAGTCTGACAGAGCAGATCAAGCTTACTTTGGCCTTGGAAGACACCTGAGATCTTGTGTAATCCTTTGAGATCCTACTCAACTTACTACCACATCCCAAGTAGCCAGGAGAAACCTGCAATAACGTCAGGTGATCACCTGAATCAAGGATTCCAGCTTCACCCAATTCTCGTCACAGAAGAAGCATGTTTACAATAAACCCTGAACAGGAAACAAACAGCAAGGCATGAGGTGATGAGATAGACTTGTTGATTTTTTTTGTTTGGAAGCAAAGACAGATGTCCTCGAGCCATGCAACTGAAGTAGTGCATCCAGTCTTACTCACACACCAGCTTCCAACTACTGGAGTGATTCTCTGCAGCCAGGCTCAAAAAGGAAGAGATAGGTCACAGGGTGCAGTAATTACAAGCAAATCCGAGCTTTCTCCCACCGTTTGTCCCCTCCCCCACCCCAGCCTCGATCCCCAGACCTCATCTGATTGGCAGACACACCGGCTGCCTTCCGTTGCACAGCCAGAAAATGTCTGCCGCTCGTTGGAGCTGCACTTGCAACAAAAGAGGTCGTGTGGCTTTCTGTTCCCATCTCTCACCACCAGGGGGACCACTTCATAATAAGAGTCCCCCCTTTCCCTGCCCAAAGCAGGCAAGATCTGCCCCACTGACACTACAAAGACCCCATCACACCTTATCAAATCAGTCCAACAGATTGTGGTTAAACTCCGAGGTCTGCCACATCGGGATCATTCTGTCTTACCAGCATTCACCTGCATCTCTGATGAAGTCATACCTTGGTTATTACAAAACGTCTTTTGTTTTGAGACTACCCTTTTCTAAGACAAATCCTGGAACTTGAGCTGTGTTTCCCAACCATTTTTGTCTTCTGTGCCTCAACTGCCCCATCAGTAAGGCTCAAGCACCCCTCCATCCACAGTAACAGCAAATTTATTCATGAACGGAATCCATATTAACAAGTCATTTGCAGTCTTTGTATAGTCTTTGCATGTAATTAGCACCAAAGCTCAATTTATACAAGCGAAACATACGGTCATTAGTAAAAACGTTAATGAGAAGAAGAGTAAAGAAATCTGCTTCTGTCTGACATCTTTAAATATGACTGTCTACGAAATATCTTACTTAACTGCATTTCTTTAATAAGTAACAATGCATTAACCAAGGAATGACAAAAACAAATAAGAAGATTTATCATATTATTTAAATCAATTGACAGTCATAATGTTTGTTTAAAAGGGTTAATACAGCAAAATCTTAATCCTTCAAGTGCCCCCTAGAACCCAGTTTGGATCACTGGTTTAAATTTCTTCAAAAATTAGTTTAGAGCATTATTTTCCTTATCTTAGAAAAACATTCTTAAAGCAAAGAGAGAACAGCTGAAGAGAAATTCTAGGCACATGAGAAAAACAGTCTCCGGAAAAGAAATAGTTGCAAAAAATAACTCACATGTTAGAAAAAGACTTCGTTACAAAGATAAATGGTTTCAAATATCTAACAATAGTATAAGAAACCATAATATATAGACTGACACAGTGTTGTCTAGTGGGTCTCAATGGTCAACTAATAACAGCAGACTAGCCAGGTTGACCATTAGCTAGGTTGACTAGATAATCTCATTTTTTTCTTATTTTCTTTTTAGTTTTAAATTTAATTAGCCTGCTATTCTTTAGCTGTTAGAGAGTTTGTATGGTAAAAGTTCTCTCATGGAAAACTGCAATGAGAATAGAATGATTAATACGACCTCTCAAGCACTCAATCTCCCTCTGTAAGACATTGCACTTCATTTTGTTGGACAACTGGGAGAACTGCATTCAGACACAAACACAAAGAGTGTGCACTAGCTTCAATGTTAAAGGGAACTTATAAGCAAACCAAGTTCCCTTCAACATCCAAAACTAAAACCAGTCTAAATTGGCATTTCAGAGGCCTACATGCAAGAATATTAACAAATGCAAATCTGCAGCTGATTTCAAGAATCTGGCACCATCACCATGTTGCACAACATCACAGATGCTCTGACCTAACCACAGCTAGTATATCCCGATCTCTTGGCATTTCTGTTGGCGGTTTTCAGTGTTTCATAGGAAGAACAACTTGACACAGCCATATTAAAAATGATCAGCAACCAAAAAAAGCTGCATTTCCTATCATTTTCCATTCACAGAATCTCCCAAAATCATGTCAAGCCCTTTTATGTTATCAATATACTATAACCATCTCCTTGAATATTAACTCCAGTGATCTTTTCATCGCCAAAACATTTCCCAAGCAGACCAGCTGAAATGGATCCCAGATATCAGCTCCTATATTCCTCTCATTGAGAGAAATGCATTTGACTGCGATTATCCAGTTGTTTCCCTGGATCTCCCCCTACAGGCCAAAGAGGGAACATGCTCAGTAGAGGAAAGAGGAGGGAAGGGCCTTCTGCTCCTTTCCACCATGTTGTAACCACAGTGTTTACTGATACGACGAGCCAGACAGGGAATGTTTTCCACTGGATATGGGGTACTGGATTGGGATTTGGGTGGATTGAGGATAGCAGACCAACAGCTATGTGTGGCGAGCAACATTTAGAGTTTAAATAAAAAAAAATCGAGATATAATATATGATTGAAAACTGAATCTATATCAAATAACTCAATTTTAGCGGAGTCTATGGAGAATCACAATATCTTTGTAATTGCACCATTACTTTTCAACTCTCCACCAATAAACCGTTTTTTCCATTCCACATGCATACGATCAGCTTCTCTGGTATCGGCTAAGAATTAATCAGCCACCCGGTGGGATTTTTAAGGCTTGACCTGAGCTGTGGATTCAGAGGTAAATGGTGACCCGGGTTTGTATCATACCATTCGGTGGCAGAGATCAAAGTTCAAACAACAAAACCCCATAAGGATTTTGTTGACCTCACCTTCCTAATAGTTTCAACACACCACCGCAAGCCGAGAGCACAATTTCTTAATGAGGACGTATGAAATAATGAGAGTGCTAAAAATGATTCACACATTCATTTCAGTTTAATGTGTGCGCAACCAAACGTCAGAGCCAAAGTGACCGTACAGTGTGGCAGCTGTGGCTGTGACTCACACATGAATGGCAATCAATGAAGATACCAAAATACAAGCCAAGGCACAGGTGACCAATCCATTCAAAAGCAACAAATCAGTTTGCCACACAAAAACACAAAAGGATTTCATCATACATTACAAAATATGGCCAGAATGCATGTAGCACCAAACGAAATTAAACTCAACATGACTTTATGCCAATTTGGTCAATTCACATTTGGAGGAGTAAAAATACCAGAAGATAAGAAGGCTGGGGAAAAAAAAAAACAGGCCTCATTTTTTAGTTCTCGCAGCAAAGACTAACCACTAAACTGTGTCATCAGCCTTGTCACACAACCTGTTTCTTGTTAAAGCCTCTCTGCAACTGGACAGTTTCAAATAGTTCTCTTAGGAAACATACAAAAAGCAAGTCAGATTTACTGTTGTCTCCTCTCACTGGCAGCCTAGGTTCTCACAACAGGCCTGGGCCTGCAAATTTTTTTCTTCATGAACAATATGTCTATGTTTGGAAGAGCATACTACCACACTGCTCTTACCTTATCTGCAGTATATTGTATGCATACTGTGAAAATTATGCATGAAATAAAATTACCTACAATATTTGGCAAAATGTGCAAATACAACAGAGCACACAATGAGAAATACTACATTCCACAATGCAATGCCTCTACAATTGACGACCTGCCTTTTCCAGTGTGACAAATCAACCAAAAGTAACATAAGCTATTTGATCTGACTGCTAAAAATGTAAAAATGTTTTAGACAAATTCAGATTTAAATAGCAAAGTAACCATATTTATTTTCAAAACTGTATGGCACTAGTTTAATTTAAAATTAATGTAAAGTCTGACAATAGGCCCTTTCGCACCGCTTTAGTTCCAGAACTAAATGTACGGTACTAAAGTACTGGGACGATTTTGCGCAAACTATTTCCCAGTACCATTTAAAGGGTTGCCTTCGCACCGAGAGTATGTACTAAGAAGTGACGTAAGCTGGTCGACAGCGTCGTCATTTGTGCGCGGCGTTCAACAACGGAAACAAATAACAACAGGAGGATGGAGGACGCTGTGATCGGAGCTGTTTTTTTGTTGTGTCTCACGGGTTTCACAATAATGGACATGGAAAATCGACGTATACGTAAAGCGATTGAAAGAATGGAAAGGAGGACTAAGAATCTCCAACGACAACTGGCAGTGCTACATTTGCTACAA